AAGATAATCCAGCCCTGAAATGTTTGTAATCTGAAGCAAAAATTTAAATCAAAAAACAAACAAGCAAACTTGTTATCCCCTTTGTAGGCAAAGAGCAGAGCCATGGACAATAAGATTAATGTTAGAGAGCAATAGAGGTACTGTAGAGCTGAGAATTAAGCCCTGGTGTCTTAAACCACAGGGCAGTGATTTAAGTATTTCCGTCTTTCATCTGGGATTCATTCTGGTAGGTTTATGTAGCGTGTACAACTTTACAGTCTTCAGGTCATTATGTAGCAACAGCAACTGGAAGCTCCTTAGAACTAATTATTATATTTAAAGGTATGCACACACACAAGAAATTAGATTACAGATCTGCCTTATCATTCACTGTGCCCTTTGTATAGATTTTGCAATGTTAAAAGAATACCAGATGAGGGGACAGAAAACACTCTAAGATATAAGTATCAGGGAAATCATGTGCATTAACCAACTGGTTTTGACATTTAGGGGAACTGGTGTTACTGAATTACCGTAAATTATTGAATCAAAGAATCAATTCAACAAAATTTACTGTAAACATGAATCAAAGTCTTCTTTTATTTTGAATTTTTTACTGTTTATTCTCTTTCCTGCAAGTGTAACCAGCTAGCTGTTGTCAGTTTGGAAAAGTTAGTGGGTCATTAAATCAGTACAGAACACAATGTCCACCTCCTTTTGTGGCTACCTGTTTCAAAGTGTTTCAGAACAGTTTTACTACTTTAATTTAATCAATACACATCATTCTTGTACCTAATAAGTGATTTTGCCCACAAGAGACTGCACTCATTTATTCACCTGATTCTAAAGTAACTCCTGTTTGCTTCTTTGTGAGCAAGTACCTTGGACAAGACACAGGTAAGCAGCTAAGAAACAGAAAACGAAGAGATTATTCGTGATGGGAAGGACTGCTAACAGAATAAGGAGAGACTGTGCATGTGCGTACATGGTGAAATGTATGAGAGCACATACTAATCTGCATGTACTCTCATGCAGCTTCACACAAGACATTTTGTTTCAAAATAATCAAAGTCCACCTATGTGTAATGGCAACAGTAATAACTAAAATGTCAGGGAAGCACTGCCCAAGTCTGAGATCTTGCAAGGAAACCGTTCTCACAAGTGTTTCAACCTAACCTTATATTCAGGGGATTTCGTTACAATTCAGGACTACCAGATGCAAAATCAAAATCAGAACCTGTCAGCCCTTAGAGGAGAATCTCACCATTCCATAAGACAGCCTGAGAACAACTGGCTCTGATAAGAGACGGAAGATTAGAAAAGCTACATTTATGGACAAGCTGTACTGTCTAGCCAAATGCATCTTTGTATAGAAGCAAAAAGCTTAACTCGTTCACAGACACCTATGTATAGACGAGTGTCTAACTATCTTTTCTTTGCAATTGTCCTGTGTTCATAAATTGGGCTTGAAAAGCAGAACTGGATGAAAAAATGCTCTTTGTGGCATGTGGAACTTTTAGAAAGACTCAAAGTCTCTCCTCGTGTCCCCACAACTTGTGGTGACAAGAGGCACCCAGATGGCAGATGGTAGTCTGCAGAAGACTGGGGGCTGTGTGGCTCTCACCATTTCTTACACTCCAAGACAGGCTGCACAACTCTGTTCCTGTTTTGAGATAGCACTGATAAGGATTATTGAGCTATAGGAAGCCCCTGTTATTTTCTAAGTTGTCAGCATCCAGAGCCTTATCCTTAGCCAAGAAGCAAAATGGTTTGGATGTACAGGGGACGTATGCGGGATGCAACAAAGGGTGCCTCTGTAACACAGCAGCACCACATCAGTGCTGCCAGCCCTCCCTTCCCTCCCACTGGGACAGTCTGGCTGAATTCTGCCAAGCTGCAGAACCTGAGAAAATGCAACACTGTGCTGCTTTTGTTCTTCTGAGGGGGAAGGAGAAAAAAATTAACACTGTTTGAATGGAGCAGGACTTGGAAGAGACTGAAGTCATGGAAGAGTGTCAGGAAATCAGAAAATGTGGCCTCAAATCCGAACAGACTTTAAACTCAGCGAGAAAGAAGCATTAATAAATTAGATGTTGCTACAATAATGTTACAATAGTGTTGCTACAATGTTTAGTTATCCTCTCAGTTTAGCCAGGGCAGTGAAAGGTGCTCAGAGCTTTCTGAAAAAATTTGTGATCTTAAGAGAAATTACGTTCCCTCTCTTCACTCTCCCCTTTCAAGCAGTATGAATTGTTCCTTTCTGACCTGAAGGATTTATATATCCTGTGCAAACATAATGCTGTGAGCAAGCAGATACAATTACAGACAGGAGCACCATGGCTAACCTAGGTGTTTTAAGAACAACTTCCTCTCATTCAAGAAATAATACCCACTCAGAGATGGAGCAACCATAGAACACTCCAGCCATAAGCACAGAATGGCACTATGTAATTTATGGTTTAGTCCATATGGAGAAGTCTGTATAGGTACAGGCTTCACAGAATCGTTTAGGTTGGAAGGGACCTCTGGAGATCATCTAGTCCAGCTTCCCAGGCTTACTTGCAGAAGGAAGCTGAAGGGGCATTACAGCCTCCTCTGTTATACACTGTCAGTTCCCTCTTCTGTGCTTGCTACTGACATTTCATGCCTTCACTGCATCAAGCTGTAGATTCTTTACAGTCAGTCAAACCCCACATGTTTCGTTAGCCACCTGTCAGGTCTAAAAACGACCATTTACCCTAAAAATAACATGTGTGCACAAGACTGCTGTCTGCGTGCAACTCTGTTTCCTGCACACATCCTGAGTAATGCACAAAAAAACTATGCATCGGCAGTCAGTCCAAGGTATTGAACTTGTTGCATACACCCCGATCAACTGCTGGACGTATGCCTCCTAGCTCTGGCTCACTCTGTAACAGAGGTACCGCTCTCAAAACCTACAAATTCACCCATCTGGTCATAAATGGATCAGATCACAACAAAACCAACCAAATCAACTAGAGACTAGCCAAGGAGCAACCTTCCCCACCCTCGATCAGCACAAAGGCAGCTGAGGACTGACTGTATGCATTTCCCTAGCAGTTTGCCCCACATGATGGCCCTGCCTTGCTTATCTGCCCTAGGGCTATTCACTCCTCCTACATAACTGTGTGGATTTCTATCCCTTTTAGTCAACCTTGCAAAAAAATTGCTGCAGCAAGCAAGTAGAAAGATTACAAGGAAAAGTTGTACGAAGAAAGTACCTGTATGTGCCCCCTAACGCAAGAAATTGGCACCACATGATAAATCCTCTACCCATAGACCAGAACGCAGGCACTACAAATACGGGATACATGTGGAAACAAAGCCATGATACAATTGTCCTGGAGAGAAGTGTATTACTGCACATACTAAATGAATGCTTGAAAAGCAATGATCCCTAATCAGGTCTCACAAACAACGCTGCCTGCAAGACTCTGACGCACTGTTGTGAACCAGTGAGGAAGAATGTTATCTCTCAGTCGACCAATGAGAGCGAAATATGATACTGCCTTTGGCCAGGTGAAGGTGAATTATCACTGAGATAAAGTGTTTCTCCACTCCTCCTGCAGAACCAGTCATGAAGAGAAGAAAATAAGTTTTCCATCTCCCAAACCCTTACACAACAAACCTTGGGACTACAGTCCACCTCAGAGCAGATGGAGGTGAGACCACAGTCTCATCTGTCATTCCTTCGTTCCCCTGACCCACAGAACCATCTATAGCTTATTCCTTTGCTAAGAAAAGCTTAAGCCTAGGTTACCCTAGTAAGGGAGCTTGTGTAAGTGTCTTCCACCTTGCCAGACTTTCCTAGTGTAGATGCTGTCCTACCAGTATAAAACTGTTCCTGTGAACTACTAGGAACCAGCACTAATCACAATCTAACAGATAAAAACTGTATGTATTGTTCACTCTACACTTGCATAGCTATGTTGGCAAAAACTGACATAGCTACTGCCACAAAACTGTCACAGGTGTAGAGATGCAGGTAGGGGAGGCACTGTTGCTGCTGAGGCACCATCTGCCCCTACACTTGTAGTCTGCACATCATCATGTATTTCCAATTTGCCACATATCTTACAAGAAAAAACAGCCAGAAAATATTGCCTTGATGTTTACTTTGGTCTATATGGTGATGCGCCCATCACTAAGTGCCTACAATAGTAAATCTTGGATACAACAACACAAAGGCAAAGGAAGACATAGTATACCTTTAAAATTCATTAAAATAGTATTTCTGTACATAAAAAGTCCATGATTTTAAGCTCAAATATCTCAGTCCTTATCTGCTGACCTTAAACCTTTCACTTATGCAGAACTGAATGAATCTTTACACAGGTCCAAATATTAACAAAGCTTTCTGCAAAGGTGAAATGGAACAAGTTATAGCAGTAATAATACGTCCAGTGCCTTGTTTCTCTATCTGGTGATACATTTTAATTAAATGTGCACAGATTGCATTTAAAACAGTCCCACCAGAGCGTGAACAGTGATTCCCTATAGTATTTGACAAATTGTTCCAAATAAACTATTCTTTATTTTTATACTGTTCACATTTTCAGAACCGAAATACATTCTGTTGCTTATTCAACATAAGATATGAAAGTAAGCCAATGAAGAGCACTACAAGAATTTTCATTTAGAAAATAACCTAACGTATCTCAAATCTCTTGCAACTATTTAACAGTAGATAGAGAAAAACTGGCTGACAACCACTAGTGCTTTGTTGAGTACTCCATTAGCAGTCTCTATACGCTTTCCCTTGTTGGATCATCTGTTTCTGCGTACAGTGTCAAAATCCACAGCACTCCTTTTACTAATAAACCATGGTGATAACTGTACAGTACATAGCTATCCTTTAAGACTATCAAATACTCCAGCAGAGACTTCGCTCAATTTGCCTCTTAAGCATATAGGAAGTTAAATAAAAAAATCTCAATCTGCCTCTTACGCACATAGGAAGTTATATAAAAATCTCACATATTGGTACTAAAATTGCTTACCTTGCAGAGTTTCAGCACTAGCCAGCATGTCAGATACGCTGCCAGGGTGAATTTTGCTTTCATGTATCTTTCAGGCAAACAGGTAAGGTACATTTGTACCAAATCCAACTCTTCATGGACAACACTACTGCCAGCATCACTAATATCATCTTCCCCACCCTCTGGTCTTCTCTTTTCCTCTTCTGCTGATGCACCCAAACACCTATTGAACTCCATTTTTCGAATGTTTTTTCCCCTTCTTTGCAAAGCCCTGATCTTTCCAGAGACAGCTCAGGAAAGTTTTTATTTCATATCAGTAATGATATTCCCCGATCCTCCAAAAGTATGCAGCCTTGTCTTTAAGCCAAACCTAAAAGTTAGGACTATGGTAGAACAAACTTTCTTTAAACTGCATTGGCTCATTGCCTTTCTCTTATTGAACGACCTCTTGCAAATGTGTGTACAGCTACAAGATAAATATAGCACTAGCTAGCCTTGTCATACAGCACAAGAATACTACTGACGTTGCCAAGAGAGGAGAGAAAGATTCCATTTATTTAAAGAGCAAGTCTCCAGCATCAGTACTCCCTTGTTATTTGGGGGGAGAAAAAAAGAGGAAAAATTTGTTATCTTTGCAAACTTTTTTTTTTGCCAACTGTGCTTCTTCAGAACAAATCCTAGTTCTGTAAAAAAAACCAAAAACAAAAACAAAAACCACGTTCTTACGGAGGAGGGTTTTTTAATTCCAGAGACTTTTAGCCACAGTAATTCATTGTCTATGAAATTGCAGATGCCAAGCTTGTGAAGGCTACAAATTTCAAAAGAATAAATGAGGTCTTTCAGATGGACTAGGGCCAAGACATTTTGAAATAACAAATAGCTCTTCCATAGGCCAAAAAATGAAGAAAATATGTAAGAGATTAACTAAGTAATTTTTTTAGCTAATATTAAGCAGCTCATCTGTGTCTTGTGGCAGCATGAATTTGTACAAATTAAGGACAATTTTAAAGACATTTATCCTACTCTTACTGACACTCAAAAAAGACCTAAAGGTCTTAATTGTACTTAATTGTATCTTTTCCTGATAATTTAACAGCATTAATAACTGAACTGTTACATTTCAATCAATACAGTTCATTTTCTGATAACTTCATGAAGAAAGTTTTTTATGTTTGAGACTGAAGTATACTTTCTTCACTTTTTTTTTTTTTTTTGGCATGAGAGGCATGTTCAAGTAAAGGAAAAGACCACTGCGGTTTGCAGAAAAACTGGATCAATACCTCTGACATCTTAGAATACAGCCCTTTTTAACATATGGAGGATCTATATCCAAAGCTTCCATCCTCTTGAACTGCTCTCAAGCATCAGACATGGCAGTTATTCACTAAATGCTTAAAATCCTATTTCATGATCTTTAATCACACTGAATACTGCCTTGACCTTATCTGAATAATTTTCATAGGATTACCTGTGAGTTATGTATTAGTGTATTGTTAGAATGGGTGTTTCAGAATACGAAAGATAAAGTTGCTACACACACTGAGACAGAGCCTGGCCATAATGAATAGCAGAGGAAACACAGAAAACCTAACAAATTTCTTGTCTGAGACATTCTGAAAGGTGTCCAGCCTGCTTGGTTCCTCTGATGGATTCCACTGCCAATATTTCCCTCTCTTTTTAGATTCACAAAAATTTAACTCAAAAAAAAAAAAGAAAAGAATTTCAGAGCCGAACCCTTCTGTGACAGTTTGCTGTAACAATGGAGAACACCCTTCCTATTCCTGCAAGGAATCCTGAGTACAGATGTTGAAGGCAAGCTGGCTCTACAATTGCAGAGGAGCTGGAGAGCATCCCAGCATACACTCCCCCTAGGCATGTCCCTATGCTGACAATGACATGTGCCTGTAATTCCCACATGAGGTTCACTCTGATACAACACAACCTTTGAACAATCCTCATTAGCAGTCCCTACCTTGTCCTGTGCTAGCTGCATCTCATTCAGATACTGCCTGTGGAGGTCCAAATGTCAGCAGGCAGCTACCACAGCCTTTGCGTGGTAGTCGTCTCTGCACTGCAAGCTAGCGCTCCTCACATCTGAGAGTGTGAGCAAACTAGTCCCAATTTCATGTTGAGGGAAGCTGCACAACTCTAAGGTGAGTAGCCTATTATCTTTGTTTTAAAGCAATTGTGGTATAAAAACAATCTGTATCACCATTGCTGCCAATTTGAAATACAGTTAAGACACATTTGACAGAGAAGATGACAGGGACAGAAAAGTCAAACCAAAGAAATGTCAGAAAGCAAATAACTAAGCTAGCTTACAAATTTGTAGCATACAGTTAGCTGAGATTCAAATTACAAGAGTGGATGCAGATGAAAACTGCATACATTACTAAGGTTTTCTCTCCAGCTTGTTCCCAGAAGGATATGACTTTGTCACATACTGGCAAAGTCAAAATTATTTTGGTCTTTCTGCTGCCTCCTAGTTCTTTAACTCTGACCACTAAGGAGTTTCTACACCGGATATTTTTATCCCCTAATATTTTGTCTCTAATCCCTACCATTTATGTTGAGAATAACTACTTAAGAATCAAGAAAGACAAGTCTGCCCAAGTTATCGTCTAACGCTGAAAACTGCAAATGAAATGGTAGTTAAAATAAGATACGCTCCTACCCTTCAGATAGTCAACATTCCCAGCGTTTCTACCCTAAGCAGAGCACAGGCCATGATAGCATGTCTCAGCAGCTTTAGGAAAGTAAGCCATATAGACTGGGCCCAAACCTTAACATTCCTTGAGCTGCAGTTTTTATGCTTTACTGTACTTTGTATGGTCATTTGCAGTTCTTCCATATAGTGCTAAGTAGATGTATAGGAATTTACATCAGAAGAATCTAGCCTTGCACTATTATACTGTATACACCTTTACCAGCATTAGGACTTTAAGGCTGAAAATGGAGTGTATTTCTGTATTCCCTCACATCTGATTAGATGTATCTTCCTCATTTCCCCAGGGACAGAGCTTATATTACTAAGTTGCAGGGGTGCCTATCTCGGCATTTAAAAAGGAACCTTATCGCACTAGGGTTCTCTTTAATAGGCACAGTATAGCCTGAAATCTGCCTAAGGACTTCAAACAGTTGTAAGACCCAGTGTCTTTTACAACACCTGTCATTTCTTCTCCCTGCTCTGTTTTAGGGGAAAGCATGTTCAGGCCAGCCATCCCTGACTGTGTCCTCTCTCTGGTCTTTCTGCCTTCATTCTTACTGAGTTAAATTTTATGTTCTCCTTTGACTCCAATTCACCCACAAGATTCATCCAGATAGATGCAAGAAAGATAAAACCAGATCATCCTGCGTACCACATGAACTCTCTGGCATGCTGTCCAGTCAGTCCAAACATTACTCCAAACAGTACATGTTTACAGCACTGGCCAAAAATAACAAGTCTGTACAATGTACAATGCTTTCCTATAGTCAAATGGAAAAACTAAACTCCCCTTTACATGCTTTATTAGGAAAAGAAGATAAAAAAGGATTATTATCAAATTTCTGCTAATGCAACTATATTAACAAATACTCGTAAATCTTGTCCAAGGGTGGGCCAAAGTAAGAAGACACAAGTGTTGCTGTTTGCCTCTTGGCCTGCAAGCCTCCACAGATGCTTTGTACATACACAACTCCTCTGAATCGTCATGCTGAGGAACTGAGATTTTGGCCTTACGCTGCCTTGATGCACAAGAAGTTGTTGAGATGAAAAACTGTTGCATATATGGGGTTGTCTCTACAGCATCACAGTACAGAAGATTCAAGTTCAACTCAGTGCCAGCTACTTGCTTCCCTTATCAAACAATAAGATGACACAGACCTTCAGCATCTTCTCTTGCTGCTTCCTCAGCCTTTCGAAAATCACCTCTCTCTCCTTCAGTTGACAGCCTCTAAGTCATGCTTTAGTATTTATCAAACCTTAAGCAAAATATTCATTTGCTACAGCAGAGGCAATGGAGTTACATGCCCCAACCTTCCTTATTTTTAAGCCATTGGTAAAACTCCTACTGAAATAACAGGTTCTAGATCAGGGCTATAGAAAGAAGAAGTCACAACCAGGCTGAATGATGGCCCTTCCCCTGTCCACTTCTCTTCTGTGTCTCTATCCTTTCCCTAAGGAACAAATCAGAACTTGGATAGCCTTCCTCAAAATCAGCCACTACTTTTAAAGCCAGGAGGGTATTTTAAAAATCTGACTTAAAGCACAGTATAAACTGCAAATGTTTATTTAGGTTCTTCAGCTGGAAGTCCTGTTTGCGCTATAGTGTGCCACTGGAACGATTTCCATCTTGACCACAATGGTACATAGGCACTGTGGCACTCTGGGCTGCAACAGCTACAGCCTGCTGCTCATGGAGCAGAAGCCATGAAGCTCCAGTCATTTAATAAATGCACGGGGAGAGGGTTTTAGGCACAACCAGAGGATACCCAAGGATGCAGAAAAACTAAATGTGTTAGAATTGTCCCTTGCAGACCACCCAGTAAAAATGGGCTATAGGCCTTCCCATTAGTGATAAAACTCCAATGGCTCATTACTCATGTTGTTAAAAAGCACATCTTACTTCCAGCCTGAACTTCCCTTCCATTTAGCTCCTAGACTACATTATAGTTTCTGTGCACTGTTTGTTTAACTATTAGCAACACCTTCTCCATGAAAGAACAAGCTGTGAAGTCATCAAATAGACCTTCAATTTAAGTGAACTAACTAAAGTTTTCATCACTCACCTTTTCCACTTTTCTAATGCTCACCTAGCTTTTTCCTGAGTCTCTTCTAAATTTTCAGCACCCTTTTTGAGGTGTAGAATCTCTTTATTCCCCATAATAATTTCCTATTGACTCAAACAAGGATAATATCACTTCTTTAGTCCCACTTTCTATCCCTGACCAGGCCAGCAATCTTACCTACAATGTCTCTTTGGGAATTTCAAACATGAAATAAAATCAGAAAGGCTTGTAGAAAGTGAATTTAAAAATGTCTGCCAAATGAAAGTCCAATATCTGAAATGGCTTTGATGACTTAAGATAACAGCAATTTCCCAAATAGTAACATTTTGTTATAACCTCATGAAAATCAGTGAAATTATGAGGAATTGATTTTAGTGCTGGGTGTCCAGGTGTCCCTTCCTCACCGCGATAGGTAACCTTCTCGTCACAGCCTGGAATCACAAGTCCAATTTTTGTTTTGCATTAGA